TTAATATAAATTTTAGTATCTCCTCTGTGCAGTGCAATCGTATTAGGAAAGCTACAGGCAAGTCAGTTTGTGCTCAGTCTAAGGTTTAGCTTCGTGTAAAGAAACTTCACCGGTTTTTTTTTTTTTAAAAAAAAAAAAAGAAAGCTGCCAATCCAATTTAAAAATTAACCAGTCTCTTGGAAAGACAACGGGGGTGGGGGAGAGATGGTCCCCATTGCATCAGATTTAAACCAGTGGAATTGTCAGGAAATGGGCAGTTTGAGCCAGTCCTGGTGTTATATCCTTACACTCTCACGTGGAAACCTCCAGCCAAAAGGAGTAAGGAATGGGTGATTCTCCTTCTCGTCAAAAGCATTGATTTTGAAAGGAGTATTTRTATTTTTAAAACATCTAAAGAAAAAAAGGAGTTCATGTTGTTTTTCATTCACATTAAGAGATACTCCACTGTTGAATATAAAAGTCAATGGACTACAGCATCTCCTGGTGAATCTCTGTAGACAAAAGAAGATGCTGCCTTTTAGAAATAAAGATTAAATAGAAATAAACGCAGCTTAACAATAGCAACATGAAAAACAACTCTATTATTCAGCCTCTGATTTCCATTCAGACTGTCTCCTAATTTTTGAAGTATTTATTTTCTACTTAATTATTCCAGGAAAATTGAGATTATAGGATTGAACATATTGCCAACAACCTGAGGTATGAAGTGCTTAAACTTCAGCTACAGAGGTGGTAATTATTGTAATTGGTGCATGTGAAGTAAATATATCAAGTAGTGTAGAGTTCAAACTCGTGCCAGTCAGTCTCCAGTTGGCACCAACAGCTCTGTCAGGAGGATACAGAGGTCTCAGCAGGACTTATTACTGGCAACTGTTCAACAGTTCTCTTCTCCAAATGGTTTCAAGGGGATTTGGGTGGGAAGAAAGATAATTTTTAACAAATTAAACTACCTAAAAATGGCGAGATGCCCAGAGCCACCTAGTCTGCCTTAGTCACTACTACCAAACCATTTTTAAAAGGAAGATTAAAAATATCATTGCTGGGAAAATTGCCTACCTGGCTTTAACAACTCAATCAGATCCCTGCAAAATTAGCCAAACATGTGCTGTGCTCCACACTACAAGAGAGTGTAAAATACGTCCCGAGTAAAAGGTAGAGCAGAATATTCACTCAGTGTGTGTTTCTCAGAAAACCACCTCAAGTTAGCAGAATATAAGTATCCCTAGAAGGATTGGGATAAAGAAATTTAAGAAAACAGTTTAATTTTTAATACAAATTTACCAAGATGAGGAGGAATGTTTTTTTCCCCCATTAGTATTTCTCTCACAACATTTGTAAGGTGTAAACCAGAGTTTAGCTTTGCACTGCRAGCTCTCACAGGAGCCTCTGCCCTGTGCCAGATTGATGTCCAGCTGCTTTGTTTGGATCTTGCTAAAATGCCTTTTTTCAAACASTGAATGTGTCACTTCTAGCTGAGGTCTCCAAGAGAAGATTTGAGTTTAATGCACGGCAATAAAAAGAGGAATATGAGAATTCTTGCTCTCTTTAGTGTCAGCTTTGGTTAAGACGTATGAATGCACATGAATAGTCTTGTCAGAATCTCTGGGGCTACTGACATTCAAGATCCAACATATTATTACTTCTGACCAGAACATTAGCTGCTGTGCAGGAAGGAGAAGGGGAAGAGGAGAAAGGGAAAAAGATCAGACCACTCCCTAATCAGGCAGAAATTGTTACGTGTTTCTCTGGTTGGAAATCTCTGAACAGAACTTTTCTGCTGTGAAAATACAGCGCTCGTGTTCTCCAGTCTCGTTGTACAGCCTCTTTAAAATCTGCAGCAGGAAAAACAACAAAAAAAAAAAGCATATTTTAATTCAGGATCTTGCTCATTTTACTCATGGAAAGGATCCTAATTAACCTATAAATAATGACTGTATAACCAAGTATTACATCCTTGTAAAGGACACRTGGAAAGAAAGGTTTGAGCATTTCAAGCTGCTGACTCTATTTTTTACTGTTTCTTTGAATCACTAACTTCAGATACAAATCAGCTAATTAAAGAATTTAGTTAAAATAAGGTGATTTTCATTCCAATCTCAGTATATATCATATACTACATGGAAAGGTCTGTTCACCAGAAGCAAAAATCTTCCAATGTCCTCTTGGCTGAATTAAAACATACTTCAGATATTTTTAGTTGTCRTTGTTCACAATTCATTCCTAAATAAACTGAAAATATGCAGAAATTAGATTAATCAGTGTATTTTTGCTCTGAAATTTGAGCTGAAGAGTGCAACCAAAGGGAATATCCTGCCCTTTGGGACTGGAACCACCTTTAGTCTCCATTCAGGAGCTCCAGCACGTCAGACAAAGGCCGGGATTTGTTTGGAGCAATCAGTGATAGCAGACCTTTACATATTTGAAGTGCAACAGATGGTCCTCCAAGGAGAACATAATGACTGGCAGACAGTACTTCGTTAGAGTGGCTTGGAATGTCTTCAGCAATTACACAGGCAGTGTTTTGGGGGGAAGCCCTGTCATCTCTGCCACTCTTCTCGTGGAAATAGCTGTGATTTCCTTGTTTAGATGCCACAAATTTGTATCTTCTAAAATGCAGGCRGTGAACTGGGAAAGGAAGCACCTTTGGCCCTTCCAAGGCTACTCAAGATGAGGCTCAGGCTGAGAAGAGAGATGTGAGTATAAAAAACTGAAATCAGCATTAAGGGGAAAGAAGTTTGGGCACATAACTGTAAAACTATGAATCCATAGCCAAGTATTCCATGGACATGTAAATCAGCAAAAAAACCAAGGTTTAGCACAAGGTTTAGTCAGTCAGAATTTTAGAAATCAGGAGGTCTATAGGTACAGGAGGCAGAATATCAAGGGGGAAAAAACAAAAGGACCTAAATTACTGAATAACAACCTCCTCTCTTTGGGAAACAGGTGATTTTTTGAGGACTCCCCTTCGACATGAAACACTATGGTTGGGCAAAGGGTGCTTTTTTGAGGCTGTCCATTCTTCCCATTTTCACAGAGAAGCCATTTCACAAGCCAGCAATTAAAATTTCTAAATTTTAAAGAGTCATAAAATGCTGATCTTTAATGCTGCAAATGTAGCTTAGAACAATTTCACTTCCACCTCTCGTGTCCCTGTAATTCTAGGATTATTCTGTTCCATTCTAAACCTTCCCCACCAAATTCATCYTAAACAAAATTTTATGTGGCACAACATAACCACAACAAAAAATGTGTCCTTTCCCAATGTAACTTAAATGTTGATGGAATCATAACTGCATTACTCCCTCTCCAATTAGCAGCAGCAATTCTTTATGTTTGCTTACGAAGCGTGAACCGTTCGCTTGTCGCTACAAAGACCTTCTGTGGAGGACTTAAAAAAACAGCCCCAGCAATTAAAATGACAACAACAGAGGTGGATTGGTCACATCTCTGACACAAAATATCCAGCTGTTTCTCTCCAGAAAAAGGAGACACCAACTCCATGAAATGTTATGACCGAATTTTGACAGCGCTGCTGGATATTCTGGCAAAAAGATGGATTTCTAAGAAAGGAGGAGACTAATATGAAACTATGTCTAAGCTCACAGATTGATTTTTTCCACATGATCAGGATTGTCATTCATGCTTTTTATCCATACAAATTTCCCCCTTTTCTTTGCTAGAACTAGAGATAGTCTATTTTGTGAGAAATTCTCTAAAAGAAAAATGTTGGGGTTTGTCCTCAAAAATAAGGCAAAAAGTGATCTGGTAGGGTTAGAACTGGAAAATCAGATTTTCAACTTACTTAATTTGGTTGTGTTAAAAACATTGTGAGAGTTTATTARGACCATAAGTCTCATTACAACCAGACTATTATTTATAAAACAGAACATCTTTTATAATCACATCTGTCTGCTGCTGGTTCCTGCCTATTCTGCTTCCCAGTGAGATGGGAAGTTAATTGTAATACATGTAGGGAATATTTTAAATTATTTTAAATATATATTTAAAWAATAACAAAGACTGAAAATKAAATGTTTCAGGTTAGCTTTTSMTAGTTAGGATTATGGGAGATAGATATATATAAAGAGATAAAAATATAGATTTATTTATCCTGAAGTGATAAGGCAGCTTTGATTTTTAATATAGCAAGAGAAAATAACTGACACATACAGAAGCAGCCACTCAAGGGGGGAAAACCACCCCAAACACTGTCTGTAGGATCCACCTACAGACACRTCCTTGGAGAAAAACTGATGAGAAAATTATCAGGCAGATTTTCCTTGCTGTTTCCTTTCTGGAAGTTTTTGCCTCTCATAACAGCATAGCCATGGCAAGTGATATGTATCAGAATTCATCCATGCAGTATATTTTGCACATCAAATTGATTATCCATGACTTCTTAGGCAAACACAGGAATGCAGAAAACATGTCAGCTGTTAGAGACAGAATATATGGGCATTTCACTCCTTACTTTACATTTAGAAAGAGCAGCAGATAATGAGCTCAACCATTACCTTGAGAATAAATTTCATTTCCAAGTTCAGAAGTATTTCCAAGCTCCTCATCTGTTTTGTGAACCAGAACTTACAGGTAGCTCATAACATTTGTCTTCTGAGCTGTGTTTGTCTCCAGAGTAATTGTCATAAGTGGGCAAAGGCTTTAATGTCCTCATCTTCATCCCTTCAACCATGATGACCTTACAGACTCAAAGCAATCACTGCAAAATACAGAGGACAAGGRAAAAAAATTAAGAAAATAAAAGCTCTGTCTTTTTCCTTCTCTAAATTCCCAGAATTCATCTGCAGATTCATGCCTGTAGCAAAGAAAAAAAAAATCAGACTAAAATATTACCCTTCTGTATGTTTCATCTGGTATAATTGCTTGACAACAAACATCTCTAGCTCTGCAAGTATTCTGCAGTGAATTTATTCACATCAGGAAAAACACATCACAAAGGTGTCTAGCTTGAAAGTTTCCAAATCAGACACCAGTGACAAAAAAAAACCAGAGTGACAGAACAGGCAAAAAGCATTCTGGGGACACACAGAACATCTTTTCAACAACAGCCACGAAATATTAGACAGCCAACATTTTTGAGATCATCAGGGTTTTACAAACCAGTTATTAATCCTGAGTAGTAGTAGTCGAAATAATAATAATAATAATAATAATAATAATAATAATAATAATAATAATAATAATAATAATAATAATAATAATAATAATGTCTGAGCAATATGTCATAAATAGAACTATTTTTTGAAGATGTTTGCTATTTAATGCAATGGAAACTCTTCCATTCCACACTTTGGCCAAGTGGTTCAGACACTATTTTCACTAATACACCGAGCACAAGATGTTCAGTCTCAAAAGGTGAATTCCTAGATATTGGGATGATAAAGCCATTTGAGACTCTGTAAAATATATATCATACAATAATTACATTTCATTTTGCAGTGTACAAAAATATATTCATGAGACTGCAGAAGCTTGTCAGGCATTCTTTATTTTCAAAGGGTAACACTCATCCATGAAAATAGTCTGATTTAAATCACTGTGATTGCTGGCAGATGAAAATTACTGGATAAAGCAAATAGTGTCTTATTGGAAAYCAAAGCTACAAGTTTGAGTCACTCTTACTACTGAGATACTCAAACCTGACCAGGCTTTGGGTACTAGAAATGCCATCTGCTTTCCAACATATTGGCCTTGCTATTGGCAGAAATCTTGCAGGATTTTACAGTGAAATCAAAACAAGTCCAAATGTGGAAGACTTGAAAACTTGGCCTCTGAATGACTGTAAAATGCAAATAAAACAATAAGTTGCAATCAGAATGTGGGAGTGGAGATGGAGCTCCAGCTGGAAGTTCAATTAAATCTTTTGTGTGAAGTGAGTGACCACTACTCAATATTGCATTTSGCATCAGACTTCAGAACCTGAGCAGAAAACCAGGGAGAAGGAAAACCTGTGCTGGAAAAACCTAAAAGATTCAGGGAGGAACCTGGTGGAAGTGCCCTTCCTCTGCAGACAGAGAGAGGCAACTGCAGGGAACAAATAAACTGGCAAGAAAAAACACAACATATGGATCCCAAACCCACAAATTTATGGAATGCAGCACCTAACTCTAACACATATGGATCCCAAACACACAAACTTCCAGAATACAGCCCTTAACCCTAACCCTAAACCTAACCCTAACCCATATGGATCCCAAACCCACAAATATCTGGAATACAGCCCCTAATCCTAATCCTAACCCTAACCCATATGGATCCCAAACCCACAAATATCTGGAATACAGCACCTAACCCTAACCCATATGGATCCAAAACCCACAAACTTCTGGAATACAGCACCTGGAAGTACAATAGAGAATAAACGCCCCTTCTGTGAGGTAGAGCAGAGCCTGTGTCAACAAGAATCACACGCTCCCGCTGTTGCTCAACAGATGTACTTGAAGGAGAGATAAGGTACTTCAGAACCCCCACGGGAGTTAYGTGCAAAAGGTGTTGCCTCCTGTGCCTCTTTCCATGCAGGGAAGGGAGCAGCAGGCAGCATTCAGACACCTAAWTCTGCACTAAGTGAGGAAAAAGGAGCAGAAGAATTCTTGTCAATACAATCAAGCACAGAGTGAATACATTTATAAATTAGATTACAGTAAGGACACTCACCACTGGAGAAAACTGTGAGCAGATCTCTCTTCTGAGGAAGGTTTCAAGATTATTTTCCTTTTCTCAAATCTACATCATCAGTGATGTGCCATAAATGAATATTCTCTTGCAGATAAAGTCTTCACCTTTTTTCAGCTGCAGTAAGAAGTGCCTTACAACACAGATCCTGCAAGGAGGTTTTACTTCTGGGAGTAATCTCCTCAAARAGAGAGGAGAAAGCATGAGCAAAAATCACTTGCACAATCATGTTTCATAACTGTTCCTAGCCTAGTGGTATTGGTTCTTCCTGAGYACAAAAAAAAATGCACAAACTTTTCTTCCTCTTCTACTAAGAGGGGGGAAAAAATCTGCTTATCCTTGGATACACAGAGAGTTTGGAGGAGCTCCAAACAATGGAGCACTGTGTGCCCCACTCATCACACAGACACTGAAGAAAGAGTGTGGCAAAGAATGCACAAAGTATGTAATTACTGTTTCACAAGATAATTCCATTATTAATACATCCCCAAAGATAGCATGCACAGCTCTGCAGTTTAATTAGATGGTAACTGGAGGGGGTTTGAATTTATGAGGTAATAAATATATTTTGGACTAATAAACTCCAAGGCTGAAGTGTTTATTAATCTAGAATATAAAGATTACATAGTTGATAGGAGACAACCTCAGGTTGCACTGAGATGCCTGTTGTTTATATATYTCAAAATTAATATTTTCCTCCTTTTGGGAGCTAGATGAGAAAGTCAGGATTGCTRGGGATGGTACTGAAAAATACTAGAAACTGTCCAACAATTCTGTGTTCTCAAAGGCAAAGGCTATTTAAGTCTCAGCAGATGGTGTGGTTTGAAAGTTTTGATCAATTTATCACCTCCTAAACTATTAGGTACTGCAAATAAACTCCCTTCTGACACTGTCAGTGCCTCATTCTRATGGTAAAAAGCTCAGATTCCCTTGTAGGAGAAACAGAGCCTTTATAAGACTGACAGACCCCTCCTCTGTCCCCCCCAAATACTCAATTCCACCTCTATTTTCCCGCTTTTGGATTTACCTCCAAGACCACACCATGACCACATGAACAAGCACATCAATTTTGGTGTCTCACTGAATTTTTTTCTTCCCTGAACACGGTTGTATAAACTTTTTGCCTAGTGCAGCACATTAAGGATTTGGAAACCAACAGAGTTGTGAGGATTTATATCCCAAACAGCTGTGCCAAGAAGTCAGAGGAATCAAATGGTCTCATCTGTTAACTTGTCCTCAGGTAGTTACAATGAGAGCTTTATAAATTACCAGAGTTCACTCCATTTAAACCATATTTCTCTGTTATTTTGGAAGTGCTAAAGCCTCACTCAGGCAAGACAGAARACCAGATTTGGTCCAGGAAAAAATGGGCATGATTGAAGTCAAGGACCAGTTTTGCTTAAGCCAAAGCTAAATTTAAGCCCGAGGGAATTGCAGGGAAAGAAAAAGGGAGAAACACGAGGAGGGACAACTTGTGGGACCTTGCAGGTGAATCAAGACTACAAGTGCAAAGGAACTGTTCCCATACCTGGCTGAGCRATGGCTGCTGGACAAAACCAGGGAATCCTGGATGTGCCAAAAGAACTGTGGAGSAAAAAGAGGAGGAGARAGGCAAGAAACACCACAGCTTGGAYTTATTGGTAAGGAAAAACCCTGCTTTGCTGAGCCAGCCCACACTGGGTGCCAGCAGGAGGAAAGTTTCATTACCAAGGGCTGTAAAGATTTAAAGATATTTAGGAAAATGTTTATTAAGGAGTTTAGGTGATCCAAATAGAATTGGCTGTGTGTTCAGACAGATTCCAGGGTGGTTCCACAGGTTCAGGGCAAAGTCCTCAACTTCTTGGAAAGCCTCTCCAGATAAATCATGGAAGATGACAAAGAACCATTTCCAAAGYTCCTGCTTTTTCATTCCCAGGTTTWCATCCTCTCACCAACTGAAACAAGTCACAGAACCAACTTTCCAATATTAAATCTCCAGGCAGTATGTTATTCATACAGCTTATGTAGATGTCTTTACCCTCTGGAAAAACAAAGTTTAAGAAAAATGGCTCTATCTTTGGGGAACAGTTTAAGTCTCAGGATAACTACATTAGGAAATCTAACTCTATTACTTCGTATCTTACATTTTATTACAAGATTGGTAATAGGAAATTACCAAATAAAATTGGTATTTTACTTGGTAATTTTTTTCCATGGGTCTCRTCTAATATGAAAGATGGTGATCATCAAATTTATTCAAGTTTTCCTGTCAACAACATCATTAACCAAATCCCTCAATTTCAAAGTAAATAAAAGCATCTGGGCTTCTCGCACAGCAAGACTGACTTGCATATTTAAGCCTCATATATAGATGAATCTGCACTGGACCAAATTTGCATATTAATGAAGGACTAATTGCTCTTTGCAGTCAATTTTATGCAGATGAATTTACTCCTCTCAGTACAATTTTCATAATGTTCGGAAAGAACCAAAAAATGTGAAACTTTTTAAAAGTACACAAATGTTAGACAATCGAGGAAGAAATATCCTAATGACTTCCAACAGCTTTACATTAAATTGTATATAATTCATCTTTTATACTGTTGCTTTATTTTAACAGCCTCCCACAAAGAACAGAACAATCCATGGAATAACTTCAGCCTATTCCCCTTCCTCGGTCTCAAATTTTAACAGCTTGTAATAACCCATTATATGTTCCAGTTTCCAGCTGGAAGGATGGAGCCTGAATTTTTAGGAGAAGTTCAATTTGCTAAACAGGAATTTATTTGCTCCCAGTCATCCTCATGCCACAGGACAGTTAGGACAGAGTTCATCCCACACAATTTTAAGGTAGTTTCTATCCAGTTTTGTACTATTAAAGAAAAAAGGCCCAAATCCTTGTTGAGTCTCCCCTGAGCTAAAGTACAAAATACCAGGGAAATGATTRGAAAGTTCATGGGACAGAAAAACATCAACAGATGTTGAGGGRAAATGGGAATGTTAGGGGAGATACATATGGAAGTGGATGAGGAAAGGAAGTGGGAATGGAAGGAGAGGAAAATGATGCCTCAGGTCTGGCGAAAAAGAAAAAAACTGAAGGATTTGGGAGAAAGTTCAAGGCAAAGTAAACAAATAAAAGAAAAAAATGCAGCCACAAATGTAGCCACAAAACAGAAAAAGAACAGGAAAGATAATGAAATAAGAAATAAAGTGAGAATCAGAGAGCACACGATACATAAAGAAACACATAAAAGAATATACAGAAAACACAGTTTTTCCTAATTCTRCCAGAACAGAAGGGCAGAGTTAGTGGGAATGCATCAGGAATCTGAATTTGCATGTATAGCCTTCCTCTTGCCAAAGCAAAAAGCCTTATTTTAACTGTGAAAACTGAAAACCATAATATTGATATGTATCATAAAATCACTTACAGAAGACCATTTTAATCAAAAAAGGAATTGCATAAAAGAAAGTTAGATCTTTAAATGACTTTGAGGCCTTTTGTATAAGGAATATGGGAGTGTGGTTCACATTCCCCACATCTGCCATATCTTTGATTGCATTTTTTGCCCTTCTCAACAGATTTTGCTGCTTTTTCTCTATTTTGCTCATAAAGGAGAAGGAAAGGAAATGTATCTCCTTTATAATTTCTGTACACAGCATTTGAAAACCTGTTCTGGGCACTCCCCCTCTTTCCCAAAAAATGTCTGGTTCAAGTGATTAATGCCGTGTGAATGTAAACATAGATAATTATTCAAACAAGAACAAGATGTTCCACCCGAAATGATTGGCTTTYCAGGGGCTGAGATGCCTACTTCTAATCATCAAGAAAGGTTAACCTGACCAGATTTAATTAACCACTTAATACAATAATAAAGATTCATAAATAATGGTGAGGAAGCCCACAGAGGCAACAGTGAATCCAAATAAATCCCTCCAGCAAGCACAAAGTCTGGGCTGTTGTCACTTGATCACAATGATGTAAGAATTCCCAAGTTTTTAGATCCACTAGGCAGAGTTTTGCACTTCTCCATGAGGAACTCAATTAATAGTTGGTTTTGATTATTATTGAACAAACAAAAAGCAAGAAACCACATCCCTAAAATCCAGTGATAAAAAGATCCCAGTGATATTTCTTAACACTGCACTTCAAATTCATAGATGAAGTCAGCTGGTTTGTACAGATTATTTGAGGGCTACAGTGAATTAAATTACTATTTCCTCATATAAATAAATAAAAATATAAATAAATAAATAAATAAATATAAATATATACATATAAATACTAAAATATAAATATAAATATATGGAGATATCTGACAGACTTTTTCAAGACAGAGTTACCAGTTTCAGTGAAAAAAATAGTCTCGAATATTCCCTAGTAATGAAACAAAAGCTTTCTATCACAATGATAAAGTAATTTGAAAGTAAAAATAAATATTTAAAGCAATTAAATGTTTTATATTGCAAAATATTTTATAATTCAAAGAATGTTAGAAAATGTTGCTGGCCCTCTATCTCTTGATAACGTGCACAGCACTTGCTGGTTGAGGCAGGCTGTGCTCACAGTGTGACCAAATAATGAGRATTAAAGAGGAGGACTGGGCATCAGCCCTTCCATTTTCTCTCAGTGAAGTTTAAACATCCCTTAAAAATAAACAACTCAGTGCAAACCAACAGATCTGCCATTGATTCATTCTGTTCATAAAAAGTAACAACATCGTGGTAAATTCAATCCAGTCAATGAGAAGTTTATGAGCCTAAATACATCAAAAGRGCAATGAAAGCTAATATATAGTGATTAAATAACAATCTGTGAGGAAAAGACACCCAACTTTCAATTCCAGGGTAGGAAAATCATCTCCTGGTGAAAAATGGGGTTTGAATTCTTTCAGAGGACACTTCAGCCATTTGCCCTTTTAAACAGCGTGGAAGTTCACGAGGCAAGATTAACTTCCAATTTAACTGAAGTGGAACTCAAATAAAGTTTTCTGATTCAAATCTGCATCTCTGTGCCTCCTGGCAGTGCCAATATTGCTGGAACAGGACATCAGCTGCAACGCCAGCGATTCTGGAATGCGCTGCCATAAACTGTAAATCAGCTTTGTCCTACTTTAATATTGGTTTAACAATAAAAAAAAAAGAACTCTGATGTTTAATATTTAAATAGTATAATTATTCCTTTAGAACTGAGTCCAGAAGGACCCTTCATGAGTATACAATGTGGAACAGCAATGAAGGGAATGTGGTTTTGCTCCACGAGGAGGCTTTGATTT